AAAAACAAGAGGAAGATTTGTTCTAAATTAAAAGGTGTTTAAGAGAATATTAACCCAATGTGGTGTATAGACCTAACATGGATCCTGACTCAGACAAACCAACTGTAAAAAGACATTTTTCAGACAACTAAAGAAAACTGAAAATGTACTGGACACCAACTTATGTAATTATTGTTAATTCTGCTGGATGTTATTATGGTATTGTAGTTCTATATTTTTTTAAGCTTATAACTTTTAACCTAGAGCAGGTTTCTCTCTTTATAAAAACAGTTTGTTCATTATGTATTTAAAGAAACAAGATCATCTGTCTTATAGACTTGACCAGGTTTCATTTAATACACCCTTTTATCCCTCATATTTTTGTGAATTACTACATCTAGAAGCTTGTAGATTCAGGTTCAGTTTCTCTGGCAAGAATATTCCATAGGTGGTGCTTTATACTTCCTAACATAGTCCTGTTGCCAAGAATGTCTGTCTCCCTCTTTGGCCTGATAAACACTCATGTCTTCAGACTTGGCTCAGATGTCACTTCCATCAGAAAAACCTCCCTAACCCCCAGTCCCACAGTAAGGTGGCTTTCCCTACCAATCCAACAGCTAACTCGAACAGCACTGGAACTGCTTACCCATCTGTCTCCCCAGTTAAGACTATAAACTTCAGCACTGAATTAAGTCTCCAGGAATGGACTCCACAGAGGCCTGAAATTTGAGGCAGGGGCTGGAAGGGGACATGGGAGTGGGAGAGCTCGTGGAAAAGTGATCTTTACCCAGTAAACATATCAGACCATGGCAGAGTATTCTGGCCCAACTGTCCACACCTGGTAAACAGGCAGGCACAGAGCCAGAACCTCCAAGGCAGCAGGAAAGAGCAACGTTCAGAAAGGAATAAGACCACCTGAGAATACCAAAGGGTGCTTCCTGCACCCGGCAGAATCCTTATCCTCTGCAAATGCTATCGCCCGCAGCTACACATCTCAACAGGGAACTTATGGAAGCACTTTTCAGATTGGAATCTGCACACGAATCACCTGCAGACCCAGTTCAAAACGCAGGTTCTGATTCAGCAGGTCTGAGGGGAGGCCGGAGACTCTGCATTCCCGGTGACGCTGATGCTGCTGCTCTGCAGACCACACTTTAACTACCAAGGCTGTGGGAGACCCAGAGGTCAGCCCTCTCTCAGGGAACGTGCCACATTTACTCCTGCCTTATTAATCATCTCTTCTAAGCTAACACATTCTGTATCATTGAAAAGACAAAAACGAACAAAAAATCAAAACTTTAATCCTCCTGCATCCGTTGGCATTCTTCTTCCAAAACATCACTGTCCCACTGTGACAATTAAACAATCTCTTATGCATCTATCACCAGCTGGAAAATGTAGGCCCTCAATAAAGGCTTGTTAAATGATGCTCAATATGACCTCAACATATGCAATTTTTTCCCACTTGCTTCCTGTCAAGATATGCTTGTTTCTTGGCCCGTCTTTCCCATTTGATTATCAATTCTTTGAAGACGGAGACTCCTCTTGTGTGCTGTGGTGCACCGTCTGGCACATAACAAGCACTCAGTGATGTCTGCTGACACAGCCTGATGACTGACATATAAACACGCTACATTCAGGTTTCTGGAGAGGACACTGAGTAAAAACACATCCCTTTTCCTGAGGGATTTAAAATGATACACGTATGACTCCTTTTCACAAAAGTTCAGTAAAACACACTGAAAGGCTCATCAGCTCACTTAACAGATAAGGAAATGGCATGAGAAGGATATATACCAATGCTTCTTCAAAGACAACCTCACCCAACACAGGAAAAAACGTTTAAGGAAAGGTACCTCAGTCTTCCCACATTCATCAGGCGGATCCTGGTGTATGGCCATTTGATACTTGACATATAAAGAAAATGACTGGTTGAAGGACGACTTGAACTCTGGGTCCTCAAAGGAGACAGGTACTAACCTCACCTTCAGAGCAAGGAAAATAGAAGCAAATGCCATTGAAACATCTCTCCCTGATGACGTGCTTCTGAAGGTGAGGCTAGAGTAAGATCTCCGCAAATCCGCTTCCAAAGCTCAACACTGGAATTTCTCACGAAATGGATAACTCTTTGGAACAGGTGGACTGGCACTGGGCCTGAAGCACTAACTTTATAGCAAAATTTAGGAAAAATTTCAGTTCATAAGGGCCAGGACAACTTCTTTTTCTTTTGTTTTTTTCTCTATCCACCTACCGTGGTTCTCTGCAAACACCAGAGCCAATACTGTTCCTAATGTAACGGCCATTACTTCTGTCACCTCTACCTAGATTAAGGGTTTTAAGCTTCTTCCCCTTCCAGATGTTTCTTGGGTAATTTGATTTATAAAATTATAAGCATATGAGGACTTCAATTAAAACACTCTATTCTCTTACTTTTCTGGTCCCACTCAGCTGTGTATGAGCAGTACATCAACGAAGAGTAACTTAGCTGCTATGAACTCTCTCTACGCATGACTTTTAAATGGAGATAAAGCACATGAACCATGTTGTGCAAAGTATGCCTATCACGAAAATAAAGCTTTTTAACTTCTTCTCTCATATTTTAACGTAGAGATCTATTTATTACTAACTTGGAAAGAAATGCATCTAAACATAGTGACTTTAAATAGAGATAATTCATTTTATGTGTTACTTTCCGCTTTAAAATTATCTATGAACAGCACTTAACATGGTACTAGGTAAAATTTGCACTTTCAGAACGTCCACTATCCCACAGTCCTATCTTTTTGCAGATATACTGCAAATTGAATATAAATTAAATGTACCACAAATCAAGAATTCATACAATGATATCAAATAGAGGGGTAAGTTTCATTTGCATAGAAAAATTACACTTGGCCTGCTGACCTGGCTCACAGTTGGTTTATCAGGTGAGTCCTTGTGAACAACCATCTGGTAACGTTTATAGACCTGGTAAGACTCTTGAAATGTGGCTTTGAACTGAGAACTTGGTGGAGATGATCTCACCACCCTCACCTTCAGAAGGAGTTAAAAAACAATGTTCATTAATTCATTTATTCATTCCATGGAATATGCATTAACAGTTACTCCCACCGAAAAAGAACCAAAAGTTCCAATACAAATATTAAACATAAACATATAACAATAATATATTAATGTTTAAAATCAACCAGTTAGTAAATAAAGAAAAAAGTTATTTCTCCAAACTACTGACTCATTAACATGGCAGAGGATCCTGTCTAAATTCTAAGACTAAGCTTTATGATCAAAATATGTCAGCCTGCCTCTACTGTCAAAAGGTAGGATACTTCTGGCACTTAAGACATAGACACAAATAAATACTGTTCATATTGGTTGTGCACAACTTACCTTCAGTAAAATAGTTCAAAAGGCTAAAAATGACTATTTTTTGGACACTCTTTCACGCATCATTAACTCTAAACTTGTAACTTTTATAAGTGTAAAAGATAACCTTCAAAAAGTGTTCCTATCGGGGGCGAGGGTATAGAGCTCAGTGGTAGAGCGCAGGCCCAGCATGCACGAGGTCCTGCATCACCTCCCTAGGACCTCCACTGAAAAAAAACAAGTGTTCCTGTTTCATAGCATCGTTTAAAATGAAGGCTGTAAAGTCAGATTTCCTTTACTTAAATCTTAATGTCACCATTTTAGTCAAGTAAACAAATTAACCTCTTTGTGCTTTAGTTTCTTCATATGTAAAATGAGAATGCATTATAGACAGTAATTACACATAGCAATGGCTAACGTGTATTTTAACTTTATCTACTAATCAGTTAAAATATGTTAGCAAAACACAATAGTAAAAGAGAAAATCAAACGCTACATAATACAAAGGCATAAATGAAAACTTCTCGTCTGTGCCATGAGTTCTGTGAAGAAAGAGTGACACCCAATGGGTGACACATCTCCATGCACCCTGGTATCCCTACCGTAAAAGTAAGGGCTGCCTGCTGAAGGACTGCGTGTTAGGTGTGCCTGGTGCCCTGAACACATTGCTATTTGATCAAAAGATAAAAGACTCTATAAAATATTTTAAGTAGTGTGTTTAATTCTCTACAATTTGGGAAGGAGAAAGTCAATACCAAAATCAGAGTAGCCAAGGAATTATAATAGTCAAAGCTGTCAAAACTTATGTCTAATAATATACATTGTCCTAAGGTTAGTTTAAACTGCATCCAGTTAATTTTTAGTATTAGGGCTTTAGTGATAAGTGATGTTCTTAGATGATATTAAGCTATAAATTCAAAGGCTGACCAGTTACTTATCAAGTATGAGGATATAATAAAATCATCATAGCTAATCTTTTAGAAAAAAAATTTGTAAATACCAAACTGATACCAAAAAATCTAGACTTAACCTGAAATATAAATCAATTTGGAGAAAATAAGAGGAATACTCTAAAAGTATTCATATTATGCCTAAATTGGTTTGAGAGAATTAATGAGAGGATTACATTAGTACATTTAGGACTGTGATTAGTTAATTCCTCACTGCTGGAGTGCACATGTAGGACTATTTGCCGCCCTGCCATCAGAAAAACAGAATGGACCCAACAATGGTTTGCCTACTGTGATCTATTCTTTCACTAGCTAAACCATAACTGCCAAAAATGAAATTTTAAACAGTATTTTTTTTTACTCTAACTACTAAATTTTAATCAAGGGATACAAAAAGCCAGAGCATCTTATCTAATAATATTCTAAAATTGGAATTTTCACAATCTTAGTAGTCAATTGCCTATTTTTCTCAGTTCTTAATAGTTTTTCTCAAGTAGCAATTAATTAAACATAAATGCCCCTCATCCCGATTCACTTTCATTTCCCACTAAACAGCAAAACATCGACTGTATTATCAAGTGAAAAATAAACAAAGCACCCAACAAAAACAAACAAACAAACAAAAACAGAAAAACACCCTTCAAAGTACCTCTAACTTGTGTGATGCATTCTCTGGTAAAGATTCAAAGATTAAATCTTCAAGTGACTTGGGCTGGTTTGATTTAGCTTTT